ATACAGTAGTCAGTTTAACACGTAGGAATCAGCCAGTCTTGTGTGTCGATGTGTGAGTCTGTGTCTCTGTGTGAGTCTGTGTGTCTCTGTGTGAGTCTGTGTGTCTCTGTGAGTCTGGGGGTCTCTGTGTGAGTTTGTGTGTCTCTGTGAGTCTGGGCGTCTCTGTGTGAGTCTATGGGTCAATGTGTGAGTATGTGTGTCTCTGTGTGAGTTTGTGTGTCTCTGTGTGAGTCTGTGTCTCTGTGTGAGTCTATGCGTCTCTGTGTGAGTCTGGGGGTCTCTGTGTGAGTCTGTGTCTCTGCGTGAGCCTGTGTGCCTCTTTGTGAGTCTGTGTGAGTCTGCACATGAATGATGTATGTGCTACGAGTAAGGGCCAGGTGTTTGAAACGTCACCCATTATATTCACGGTTCTCTTAAGTCCACGCAGCGTCGTTGGCTGGCGTGGTGTGTGTTGCCATTCAGTGCAGTGATCACGTGGTGTGTGTTGCCATTCACAGTGCACAGTTATCACTCACGCGCAATCCGGCTGGTTGCATCTGCATAGGACAGACGCACAAAGACAAAGATCTCCCATATAGCCTTTACCATCCTTTTGGGGCAAGTGCTGTTGGCACGCACACACGCGCGTGTTGGTACCATGCGCCCGGTGAGTAGGCGAGGCCTTGGCAGTTGTGTGCTTGTGTTTGTTTATTTTTAAACAGTTTCAGCCTTCAAGTCGAATTCCCAAGGACGACTTCCCCGCTCAGCCTGGGGCAGGTGGCGGCGAGCGAGCGCCGATTCTGTAGACTTCGCACAAACTACAACCACAACTACAACCACAACAACCACAACTACAACCACAAACACCAACCATAAACACCATCCTCCCGAGCCGGGTGCGTGCTCGTCCGCGCAGAGCAAACAGCTGGTTGTAGAAGGCTCGAGAATGAAAGTGCACTCCCCTCCCTCCCACCGCCGAGCACGCGAGTTGAATCATTGCGACAACAGAACAAGAATCTTAAAAAAAACACACAAAGATTCGTGCGTTGCGAAGAGTTCGATGAGAGGGGAGAGGTCGGAGAGTGCATGAAGTGAAGTCGAGTGAGATGAGATGGGAGGCATGGGCTGGCAGTGTCAAGCGACCTTGGACCAATGCTGGGCGAACTTCCCTCCGTAGTAGGAGTTTCTGTTATACCGCGATGGCTATTTCGGGTGTCGAGTTTACGGTGGGGCGGGGGGCGGGGGATGCATTCGAGCGGCACACAACGGGAGCACGCGGCACGATGCACAATTGGTGAAGTGTCGCTCGGAGCGCCCGCAAGGATTGCGCCCCACAGCCAGTGCTACAAATGTCGCTACGGGCTCCGCACTTTCAAGGCCCCCCGCGCCAAATGCTTTCAAGCCATCAATTCCGGTTCAGTGATTCTGCAGTTGCTCTATTACTATAGTACTATACCGCCTTCAACTTTTACGAACGACTGGGTGTTTAAGGTTAGCGATTAGTCGTATTATCTGGCTGCATAGCGAATGAAAACATACAATTACTTTACTAAGCAAGTTAAAAATTCGTGTGTTAATATTTCGTGTGTTTGTTTCGGGGCCCCTTTATAACGTCATGCTCCAGGCCCCGCACGAGTTTCACCCGGCACTGACCACGTGGCGAGGGGGCGCCGAGGCCGTGGCGGAGGTTTAATCTCTCGCGGGGGGCAAATCGGCTCCGTCTCGACCTCCCTGCGCCATCAGAGTCGTCAGCCATGGGCCCTGGCAGCCTCTCGTCGTCATCGTCGCTATCGCGCTCTCGTGGTGGACCCCCGGCTTGCTTGGCGCTACAGCACGGGCACTAACTCCCAATAACAAACAGATCAATCTTGACTCAACAAAAATAAAACTCGGCACATTGGTCAATGGCACCGTAACATTAAAAAATGATGGGGAAAAAATACCGATAACAGAGGTTTTTTGTTGCTGCTTGGGGTTAGATCGCGTAAATATAAATGTGTCGTCTAACCCGCCACCACCCGACACAGCCAATTGGTACGGGTTGTCACGTAAACAGAACGTGCCAAAAAAATATCGAAATTTGAATACGAATTTCCTGCCTAAAATATTTAAAAATTCACTAACACATGGGATCGACTTTTAATTTATTTTTAACAATAATGTCTAATAGTGTATTGTATTAGATTGCTCTGTTTTTTCTTTTTTACCTTTTCTTGTTTCATTGTATGTAATGGCAGAGATTAGGGATTTATAAAGTACAACCATAACCACAATCATATAAACAGAAATCAATTTAATAGCAATATATTGGGGGGAACATTTTGAGCATATTTTAATATTGGGGGTGATGTCCCCCCCACTAATATATTTTATAATTACGACCTTGCCGCTCACCACTGATGTTAGCCGTGGTCAGAGATCGAACTGAGGACGCCAGCACCCCGTGCTCGCTCACCGCTGTGACGACACCGCTCGTAATAATGATACCGTATCGCTTAAAGTGATCGCCGATTACATTACAACGAAAGTATTGAAATACTCCAGCACCAGCTGCGTCATCGTGGGAAGTGCCACGCGCAGATTACGGGGGTCAACCTGCCCACGACCATCAGTGGGAACATCAATCGCGTTAAGACGGGGGTCGCGACCCCAAACGTCAGCCAATTGTATATGCAAATATTGTTGTTGTTGTTGTTCTCTTGAACATGTAAATAGCGTTGTCAACCCACTGCTGGACGATTGGTGAAGATGGATTGGTGAAGATGGATTGGTGAAGACGGATTGGTGAAGATGGATTGGTGAAGACGGATTGGTGAAGATGGATTGGTGAAGATGGATTGGTGAAGATGGAATGGTGAAGATGGATTGGTGAAGATGGATTGGTGAAGATGGATTGGTGAAGATGGATTGGTGAAGACGGATTGGTGAAGATGGATTGGTGAAGACGGATTGGTGAAGATGGATTGGTGAAGATGGATTGGTGAAGATGGATTGGTGAAGATGGATTGGTGAAGACGGATTGGTGAAGATGGATTGGTGAAGATGGATTGGTGAAGATGGATTGGTGAAGATGGATTGGTGAAGATGGATTGGTGAAGACGGATTGGTGAAGATGGATTGGTGAAGATGATTGGTGAGATGGATGTGAAGATGGATTGGTGAAGATGGATTGGTGAAGATGGATTGGTGAAGATGGATTGGTGAAGATGGATTGGTGAAGATGGATTGGTGAAGACGGATTGGTGAAGATGGATTGGTGAAGACGGATTGGTGAAGATGGATTGGTGAAGATGGATTGGTGAAGATGGATTGGTGAAGATGGATTGGTGAAGACGGATTGGTGAAGATGGATTGGTGACGATGGATTGGTGAAGATGGAATGGTGAAGATGGAAGCACGGTGCACTAAAGGATTCTGACCTGTGGATCGCTGTCCCTAAGCAGCACCTGGTGTATGCATTCGCGGGCACCCATCCAGGCCCTATCCGAGGTCAAACACCGCTTAGCTTCTGTGCGTAAACACAAGACGCAATCTACACGACCCACAGCACCCACAGTGAGTCCAGCCAAAGTAAAGATCCCCCGGATAGCCTGAACAAGACTGTTGGGGCAAGTGCCTTTAGCGAGCGGCACCACGGCCGGCCGCCTTTGTCACCCCACGTTTGATGTTTGCACACCGCACCAGGTACTCATTTAAGGCTGAGTCGGCGTAAAGGGAGGGTCAAGCCCGGTTCAGATATTCATCGCTGATGTTGGATTAATGAATGAACACACAAAAGAAAGATCCCCCCCTATAACCTTAACAGAATGTTGGGGCAAGTGCTGTTAGCGAGCACATCTGAAGGCCGCAACGACACACGAGGGGTGGGTGGCCAGCACCACGCCCGACCGCCTTTGTCTCCCCTAGTGGAGATGTTTACACATCGCAGCAAGTACTCATTTGAGGCTGAGTCGACCTTGGGGAGGCCCAGTGCCGGTTCAGATAATCGTCACCGATGTTGGTCATGAGCGGGAATAGTGCAATTCTGGCTATCGCCTGATGAGGCTGGTTGTAATCACCAGCGAAACGTCGGACTCGAGTTGTAAATGTTGTGGGTTTACTCTCCAACACACAATCAGTTAGTGCTGAACTAGTAACCAATTCATCTACACTATGGGGACCTCATTTGCCAGTAAAATATATAAAGGTGTCAGTTTTGTTGCCAGATAGAAGGGTAAAGAACCAATTATAGTAACCAATTGGCACGGGGAGACAAAGGCGGTCGCCCGTCGTGGAATTGACGGCCACACCACCCCCGCCGCAGCTGGGCCGTCTCCAGCCCTCGCGCGTGCTCGCTAGCAGCACTCTGCCCAACAGCTTCTGGAGGCTACACGGGGGAACTTTATACGCGTGGCTGTGAGCGTGCCGGTCATCTCAGTCAGCCAACCCACGTGACCTCCCTGCCCGCGAGCCTTCGACACTTCACGTGGCCTCGAGGTGCACCGCACCTGGCACAAGCGCCGTGGTGGTTGGTGTTGTGCGTTTGCTCGCACGTGGTGGGTGTCTTCGGCACTGGGGAGACAAAGGCGGCCGGGCGTGGTGCTGGCCGTCTACCACCCTCGTGTGGTGAGGGGTGGAGACGGGGGGAGGGGGTGAGGGGTGGAGACAGGGGGAGGGGTGAGGGGTGGAGACAGGGGGGAGGGGTGAGGGGTGGAGACAGGGTGAGGGGTGGAGACAGGGGGAGGGGTGGAGACAGGGGGAGGGGTGGAGACAGGGGGGAGGGGGTGAGGGGTGGAGACAGGGGGTAGGGGGTGGGGACGGGGGGAGGGTGGAGGGGGAGTTGATGGATAAAGGAAGCGAAGGAGGCAGGGAGGGAGGAATGGAGGGGGGCAGGAGGGGAAGCAAGAGGGGAGGAAGAGAGAGGAGAGATGGAGGGAGGGAGGGAGGCGCTGGCGAGGGGGAAGGGAAGGCGGGAGGATGTGGTGGGGGAGCTGCGCTCTGCAGCGGCAGCAGCGGCGGCGGTGGAACCCCCGAGCCGCGCTGCTGAGCGCCGCTCGGTGCCTCCACCTCCACCCAGCACGAGCCCCTCTCCCCCCACAATCCCCCAGTCCCTGGCGAGGCGAGTGGCGGTGGTAGGAGACCCTGGGGCCCAGTGAGTGGCTCTCCGGCTCCCCGCGGGCTCCGTGGCTCCCCTCTCGCCATGGCCGCGCGCTCGCCGCGGCTCTGCTCGAGGCGCGCTGAGTGTGCACCCTGCGGCCCCTTCTCTGCGCAGGAGGGGAGATTCTCATCGCCCGCTCGCGACTTCTCCCTGAGCTACCAGCACCACCAGCAACAGCTTCACCGCCACCACCAGCAGCATGAGCAGCAGCAGCAGCATCAGCATCCTCATCATCAGCTGCACGCCGCTGCTGCTGCTCCGGAGAGCGGCCTCCTCGCTGACGACTCTTCTGAGAGCGAGACGGAGAGTTCGTCCCATCACGACCACGACCACCACCATCACCACCACCAGCCGAAGCTCATCCGTAAGGTGTCCACCTCGGGCCAAATCCGCAGCAAGGTACCGACTGTGAATAATCGCCCTGCAGCACTTAGACACTCACATGCAGTACTTAGACATCCACATGCAGCACTTAGACACTCACATGCAGCACTTAGACATCCACATGCAGCACTTAGACACTCACACGCAGCACTTAGACATTCACACGCAGCACTTAGACATTCACACGCAGCACTTACACTCACATGCAGCACTTAGACACTCACATGCAGCACTTAGACACTCACATGCAGCACTTAGACACTCACATGCAGCACTTAGACACTCACACGCAGCACTTAGACACTCACACGCAGCACTTAGACACTCACATGCAGCACTTAGACACTCACACGCAGCACTTAGACACTCACATGCAGCACTTAGACACTCACATGCAGCACTTAGACATCCACATGCAGCACTTAGACACTCACATGCAGCACTTAGACATCCACATGCAGCACTTAGACACTCACACGCAGCACTTAGACATTCACACGCAGCACTTAGACATTCACACGCAGCACTTAGACACTCACATGCAGCACTTAGACACTCACATGCAGCACTTAGACACTCACATGCAGCACTTAGACACTCACACGCAGCACTTAGACACTCACACGCAGCACTTAGACACTCACATGCAGCACTTAGACACTCACATGCAGCACTTAGACACTCACACGCAGCACTTAGACACTCACATGCAGCACTTAGACACTCACATGCAGCACTTAGACACTCACATGCAGCACTTAGACATTCACACGCAGCACTTAGACACTCACATGCAGCACTTAGACACTCACATGCAGCACTTAGACACTCACACGCAGCACTTAGACACTCACACGCAGCACTTAGACATTCACATGTAGCACTTAGACATTCACATGCAGCACTTAGACATTCACACGCAGCACGTAGACATTCACACGCAGCACTTAGACATTCACACGCAGCACTTAGACATTCACACGCAGCACTTAGACATTCACACGTAGCACTTAGACATTCACACGTAGCACTTAGACACTCACATGCAGCACTTAGACACTCACACGTAGCACTTAGACACTCACATGCAGCACTTAGACACTCACACGCAGCACTTAGACATTCACATGCAGCACTTAGACACTCACACGCAGCACTTAGACACTCACATGCAGCACTTAGACACTCACACGCAGCACTTAGACACTCACATACAGCACTTAGACACTCACATGCAGCACTTAGACACTCACATGCAGCACTTAGACACTCACATGCAGCACTTAGACACTCACATGCAGCACTTAGACACTCACATGCGATTGCGATTTGCGATTACATTCTTTTTTAAGACAAGCTTCAGTTCAATTTTCACTGTGTAATAGATTAAAAACATGTGATGGAGCATTACCACATGATACCATCAAAATAACACATTCCTGCGGAGGGAGCTGGTAGGAACGTTGGGTTGCTCGGTCAATGGCCAGGGTCAACGGCGGCGTGGTGTATTCCGCAAATCTGGCCGACTGTAAGGGCGGGCACAAGCCGGCGTGAGTAGGTTAAACGTTGAGTTTTATAAGGGCACCACGGGGTGACCAGCCCCTCCCCACCCAGCCCCACCCAGCCCCTCCCCTCCCACGCCCCACCCCCCACCCAGCCCCTCCCCACCCTCCCCACCCAGCCCCTCCCCTCTCCACCCAGCCCACCCCTCCCATTTTTGATGCACGACGGGCGGACGGACACAATAATCCCCTGTGGGCTGGTGTAACCAGGAGGTTCCTACCAGTATGAACTGCTCTATATATTCTAATGCAATGATGAGAACTTAACATATATGAATTGCTTCCAACATGTATTTATTAAAATGTTTTAATTGAAATAGAACAATCAAACATAGAACAATTGTTAAGTTAAATAAATAAAGTTATAATAATAAATAAAACAATTCCAATAAGAAAAGAAAATGATTTTTCAAATCGCAAGAAATCGCAGCCCTTGCGATTGGCTAATCGCATTGCTTCAAATTTCGATTTTAACTCGATTAATCGATTTTAACTCGATGAATCGTTCAGCCCTACTTCCTACCCCCTTCCAAGACGTACCGGGCAGCGTGGAAGAGCAGGCCAAGTACTCCTCCGAGATCCTTCCGCAGGCAGCGGGAGCGAGTAACACGCTGCAGTGACTCCATCCAGCAGTGGATTTGTCGTGGCTGATGATTCGTATTTGACGGCCCCTTCTTTTGGATCGAGCCCATTACTGGACGAGGGTCGAACTGACAATGCCGCGTCCCTTGAGCAAACTTCCCTTGAGCATACTTCACCACGCTGGTCGGCGCGTGTTGGTGACAGGCCCAGGACCGGTCCGAGCTCGCACTCGCCACTCAATGCAAGTCGTGCTCTGTGCTGCTCATAGCGCAGTGCGCTAACCGTTGCGCCACCGCTCCATACCCGTACACACAGTGCACACAGCACGCACGCAGTATAAACACCGCACACACACAGTACGCACTTTACACACACAGTACACACACAGTACACGTGTTACACACAGAGTACACACGCGGTACACACACGACACGCAGTACACACATTACACACACAGTCGACACACCGTACACACACACACACAATATTTCTGCATCTGAGTGGATTAACCCCGCATAGTAAGAGCGCGTCTGTGGGTAGAAACACGCGAGTCGCGGGTGCGCGAACCGGCACGGAGCGTGTGAAACCTGCAGGGTGACATTTGTTGCTGTGTTTGATCCTTGATGTTTGTTTCATTTTCACCAATATATTACACAGCCATTCGACACATACATCTTAATTATTGGCAATGCAGTATGTTTCATGGAGTAAGGCAATTGGCATATACATCACGTTTAAGTATTAACAATATACGGTATATTATAGAAGACGCATTATCAACAACAACATATTACACATGTAAATATTAAATACGTTGTATTGTACTGTTGTACCCTTACTTTTGCCACCATGGTGTGTATGTACGTTGAACTTCTTTCGCACCGTACGTAGCCAACCACGATACACACGCAACGACAGCTCATACGAATCGTGGCAGTAGGAATGCTGAAAATAAATAAATAAACTCTCCAGTCGCAGTGTGGCGACTGCGGTCATCCAGAACAGAGCACGTTGTGCTGCTAGCGCGGTGGGCAGCAGAGGGCGGTACAGCAAGTAGGTGCGTAAGCCCCAGGTGCCTCCCCACACAAAGGTCAACATCACTCGTTACCAATTTAATTCTTGGCCGAACGCCGCAGTGTGACAGGGCCCTCCTCAAAAATGAGTCTGGAGAGTCACCGAGACTCGCCGGGAGGAAATCCGATGAGCTATAAAGCTTCGATTTAAAGCTTCTTTCGTGACTGCAGGGATTCATCGTCTTGGTTCCTTCGGTAAAGTCACGTAGAAGGGAAGTAATAAAATAATAAAAATAAAACATAATAAAATACAATTCTCACGACGTTTCGGCCACAACGCAAGCAGCCGTCCTCAGGTAAAAACCAGGTCTGTCGAGGCGACAGCGTCTGAATGAAACAGAAACACGAGCTTGGAGCATATATATAAGCAAATTCTTTTGTCAAGGCGCCCTTTCCCCCCCTTCCAACCCAGCTTATATATATGCTCCGAAGCTCGAGTGCTGTTTCATTCAGACGCTGTCGCCTCGACAGACCTGGTTTTCACCTGAGGACGGCTGCTTGGGTTGTGGCCGAAATGTGAGAATTATTTTATTATCTTTTATTTTTATTATTTTATTACTTCCCTTCTACATGACTTTACCGAAAGAACCAAGAAGATGAGCTATAAAGCTCTTTTCACGGGACCTTTAACCTCCGCTTTGAAGCGGACGGCGTGTACGGTAGTCGTGTCTTTAGTGGCTATAACACCGGCAGTATTAACCAGGGCGGCTGCTGCACTCGAACCGTCAGCCGCTACAACGGGCGGTGATCACTCTACCGCTGCACATCTCCAACACCTACTTTCCTCGGGACTCGAGGAGAGCGTCAACTGAGTGGATATTATATTCCTGGTTCTTTCGGTAAAGTCACGTAGAAGGGAAATAATTAAATAATAAAAATATTAACAATAAAATTCTCACGACGTTTCGACTGCAACACAAGCAATCATCATCAGGTGTGAAATCCACAGCAAGAAAATTATAAAAAAGTGGCGTTTTTTTTCTTAACGTCAGCACCACGGACAGCGATTTGGCTGTTGGTCAGATGGACGAGTCCATCTATGTTCGGAAAAGAGGAGGGGGGAGAGGAAGAGAATGGAATGCGGTCTGAAAGTCACCGTCAGCGTGAACACAATCAATTAAGATCCGAAATGGTTTATCAAATCCTTCCAATGATTGCTAAGCCAGAATCCATCTTCTCGGTTGAAATTGTCTCTGTGTTTGTATATGTGGATAGCCTCATGAACGAATCTCTCATGGTAGCCAGATGGCTTGCAGAGGACTTCTGTCTTGGAGAAGTCAATGGCATGTGAGCCCACTGAATTGTAACAGTGATCTGCCACGGCTGAGGTGTTGGTCCTACCGTGTTTTAGGTCTGCTTTGTGCTCACGGATGCGGTCCGAGACATGTCGTTTGATTTCTCCAATGTAACTGCTACCACAGAGGCAAAACTCGGTTTGTAGACGCCAGGGTACTGTATCTCCGGAATCACATCTTTTACAGACGGAACCAGATCACGGATTTTATGTAATGTGTTGAATCGGACCTGGATCTTGTGTTTATTCAAGATTTTGGAGATCTTTTTTGTGATCCCCGCAATGTATGGTAAGGTGATGGTTTTGAATGGCTCCTCAAGAGGGTCCTTCTTGATGGTTGGAGTGATGGCTTTGCGAATTGTGTAGTCGGAGTAACCATTAGCCTTAAGAGCTTGGTGTACGTGCTTGAGTTCACTGGCAATGTATTCCTGGTCAGAGATGCATTGGGCTCTATGGTACAGAGTCTTGATGAGGGAATTCTTCTGGGATGGATGGTGGTGGGAA